TATTTGTGCTTTATATGAGGAAGGTTTTTAATATTTATTAACCTTACCTTGTTCTATCTTTTTGACTTTCTGAATTTCTAAAACATATGCTTAAATTCATACAGCTAGAATTACTTTACTGCATGTACATATTGTTGCACATTTTTTTTGTTTGCATTCATTTGTATGTCTGTCTTTTTTTCTCCCTGTTAGTTTATATAACCTTTTCACATTTTCTAGCTTTCCCTAATTTGAGTGTGATGTTTGCATTTTTTAATAGGGTAAATTTTAAAAATACCAACTTGGTGATTTAAATAAATACAACTAAATTTTTATGAACATGAAAACCAAAGGCCATGTAACCTTACTAATAAAATAAAATTGCAATTAGAATGATATTCAGAGGATATAATTACTTGCTTATCCAGAAAAGGTGCTAAGTAGTCTTAACATTGTCAATTTCCACTTTTGACTTTTAAAACATTGAGAAGTTTAAACACTAGTGTCTAGACAGATCAGTACTCTCTGATAGAAATTTCTACCATGATAGAGATGTTCTGTGTCTGCGCTGTCAAATATGTAGCCACTGGCTCCATGTGGCAGTTGACCACTTGAAATGCAGCTTGACAGAGGAACTGAATTTTTAATTGCTTTTAATTTTAACAAGGTAAATCTGCATTTAAATAAAGTCTTTATGACATAAAGTCTTAATAGTATTAACATAAAAAATAGATGGAAAACATATATGGTATGCCATTAGCTTTTGTATGTAGTTAAGGCTTTGTAGTCTGATTTGATGAAAGAATGAAAGGAATAGAAAATCTTCTTATAATGCAACCCTGTTCTCACATGTATTGTTTTTATGGGTTTAGCTTTAACACACATCAAATTATACCCTTGAAATATGAGTGCAGATGATAAAAATCAATTGTGCTATCTAAAATTGGCACATACACAGGTTACTTTTAATCTCTTCCTTTGTTCTTTTTCTAAATAATAAATTAAACATTAGAGCCTAAAGAAAATAGTAATGTACAAAGTAATAAAAGTTTCTTTTCTGTGACTTTCATGTATCTACTTAGGTCTGTTTCTTTCCTGTATTCATGTTGACTCTTAGCCACCTGTTTTCATCACCATCTCTAATTGTGTTTGCTTTCTTTATATGCCGAGTCACATTTTTCTTATTTAGTCCTATGAATATCTGTTTTTCAGATTGTAAAACTAGCTATCTATGGCATGCTACCAAAAAACCTTCACAGAAGAACAATGATGCAAAGGTTGCATCTTTTTCCAGATGAGGTGAGTTACTGGTCATTGGTAATGATGCTTTTCTGAAATTTTCAATTGAATGTTTTCTCTCATTTTTAAATAAATGCTGTAGACTTATTTTCAATAATTTTATGTCAAATTC